ATAAAAAATACAAAATATTTTATGTTATATTTATTGATAATAAATAACTTTATCAAAATGATGTATCTACTCATAATAAATAAAAGAAGATAACATGTTGGTCATTTGAACTGATTTAGCTTTTATATCAAACAGTGTAAATCAGACGGATTAAATTATTTTTATTTTAAATAATATATTCTAATATTCATTTTATTATTGCTTGAGGATGTCATGTTCCATATTTTTGTTTTTGCTGACATGGCATATTACATGATAGAAAAAATTAATGGTATTAATTTGATAGTTTCGTGGAACCCTCAATTGGATGTAGTTGAAAATGTTTGACTGAAAAAATAACTATTTGGGTCCTCAATTATACATTGTGCAAAGGTTGGACCATTCAAAATGCATTTATCAAAAGAAAAACATGCCTTGAACTTCCAAAATTTCCAAAAGAAATATAGATACTAACCTCAGGGTCAAGACTAGATGAAACCTCCCAGGATCGCAGCATCTCTTTCCAATATGGATATTGTTCATCTACATATTTTCCATTGCTACCTACAGGGTTGAAAGCCTGTTAACAACTTTGCTTTATTTTCCATTGCATTCACAGAAAACTAGATAGAAGCAAGCAGATCTCTCTGATTATTGTCGCACCCTGCATAAGAACAAATAGTGACTGCCAATGGGAAGGTTTTATTTTCATTGTGGGGGCTGGGTCAGGGACTCCTTAAAATTCAAACTAAAGGTTAGCGGAACACATGCAGAATTGTGGATAGTACAAGTGGTACCTTAAACAGTTGATATTAAGGTTGTTAACCTGTACTAGCAAACATTGGTTCTCCAACAAACTGATAATAGTCTATTATGATGTATCTCTTGAATTTCTTGCTGTTTTTTAATTTATAACTAACTGTTTTGTTGGTCCATTTCAATATAAAGTTTGTTTTGTAACAATCAATTACTAAAGGTTGTACAATTGGATAAGAGGATCAACCCTCTTATTTTAATGACACCATGAATCTCAACTGTCTTCAAAACTCTTTTTCAAATAAATTTTTCTTCTTCATCTTGATAAACAATTAAGTAAGAACATTAGCCTTTTCAAGATCTTAAAACTCTATATAACACTGAACTTTCATCCCTTTGGTAATAATCTTGCAATAAGAAACAGAATTAGAGCCATGTGAGACTCAGGTTGTTATGATGAAGAATGAATTAGCCTTGGAACTTATAAATAGACTAAGAATTGTGTCTCTATTTAATCTATAACTTATTGTGATAATGTGGATAAGATTACATCTTTAGTAGCTTTAGGACTTTATTTACAGATTAAACTCTTTTTTGACAAAAACAATAAGAGAGACTTTATTAGACATAAAGGGAAAAAAATATAGAGAAAGAGCACAAGATATCCTCCTAAACAGCAAATTGAAAGTACATCAAGATAACAAAGCATTCTACTCACTTTCCAAGATTCCCATGGAGACATCTTGATATAGGACAAAGAGAACTTGAAAATAATACTTCTAAAAAATTTATTAAAAAACAAAATTGGACATCTGAGATCACAATAATCAAATCATTATCTTTGTATTTGTATAATAATCACATAAATAATCTACCTCGTAACTAACCTAGAGTATCCTATTCATATGCATAAAAATACAAGCAAATAGGAAATCTTAAATCCATGTAAGAATTCTACTAAACTAAGAAGATAAGTTAATTAACTGAACAGTCTATACAAGAGACTACTAGATAAGACTCTAACTTAAATCTATATATAGTAGTTCCTAAATAAACTAAGTACCTTAATAATACATAATATTACTATTCAATAAATATATCTTAGCATTGAAATATGTACGCTTTAGTATCTTCATATTTTTCATCATTCTACCCTACTTGGTGAAGGTTCAATCTCATGTTTTGGGATGTCAAAGAAGAAATAATATAAAAATAAGAACTTTTTTTCCTAACAATTGAAGCTTGCGAAACTTGAGATTGTGGCGAGAAAACAAGAATGCTTCTAAAAGCATAGCAAATGAGCAATCAGGCATGATAAAATCTACAAACGGAAGAATCATCAAATGGTGATTATCAATCTTTGTTGCAAAACATGTTTCTGCTATAATATCTTCAAGTAGGGTTTTTTCTTCTTTTCATAGATTTTAAATAAACTTAAAATATCCTTATTTTCAACATGAACCATGTTGTTGCTTGCTACTAAACATAAGATCCATCACTAGAAAACTCAACTTGACTAATAGGAATAACAACCTCTTCTACAATAAATTTTACTATCTCAGATTACCTTACTTGAGTTCATATCTTCATCATCATTTCATTGTTTATTTGCTTGTCATGTTTTACTGAAGTTTTACATATATTAGGTTCTTGTGTAACCAAGGAGTCAAGATTTTCTTTACATAGGTGCATTTTGATTTTTGCTTCAAGCACATCAATCTCATTAACTAATTCTTGTATAGCTATTTTCGAATCCTCCCAAATAACTTTATAAGGATCAAATTGCATATTGTACCTGTGACTTCTTTTCTCTTGCAGATGGAACACTTATTTTTACTATTTTGAACCTCAAAAAGCATCCTTCATAACTGAATCATATGCTCAATGGGATGTAGCAAAAAGTACATGATCAGCTCCAGTCACGTTCTAAATCCATCTAAAGTTCTTCTTTAGAAATGTTAACAAAGTAAATCTAAACACCTGTTTTCAAATCTATCCTCAAATGAACCTCTTAATCAGAAAGCAACTTAAACATTACCCAAAAATTGCAAACATTTGGCCCAAAGTTGCCTTGAAAACGACTCCAAAAAAGCTCAAAAATGGCTCAAAAATGACTTAGCTTCAAAAAATGACTAGGCTGAAAAGGTGGCTTGCTCCAGATGCAGCTAACAATGTTTTTCACCTGCGGCTTCCAACACTTGACGTCTACACTTACCTTTTCGGTAATCTTCAGGCATCTAGTTTTTGGCCATAGAGTCGACTGAAATGGGGGTCCTAGACCTAATCTCACTGGTTGTCTTATCGGCCAGGAAGCTTGAGCTTCGACAAGGCAGAGTCAGGCAATGTCTTTCATAGAAAGTATGGCTGTTTTTAGAGAATTTAGAGGTTCGGACTTGGTAGGCAGTTTGGTTGGTGTCCTATGATGTTGATGGTTGTGGCGTGACCTCCAGCTCCTGGCGGAGGCCAGCAAATGCTTGTTGTCTCGGTTTGCGTTATCTGCAGTAACTTTTGTATTAAGGGTTTGGAGGCTGCTATATATTTTTCTCTTTGGTAGTAGATTATGAAGTTTGGATGGAAAACTATAGGAGCATGATGAAATGAAGTTCGACCTTGATACTAACTGATGTCGAACGTAGATAGCTTGAGCACAGTAGTTATGAAAATTCTATTAAGAACGAAAAATTGAAGATCTCAATAATCAAATTAATAACAATATTTGTACAATAATCATATGAATAGTCTGCCTAATAACCAAGCTACGATACTCTATTCGTAGGCACTAAATAGAAATGTTTAAGTCTGTCTGAAATTCTACTAAAATGTGAAAGCAAGCCAACTAATTATAACTAATCTATACTAGAGCATAGCTAAATAGGATCCTAAATAAGAAATAATACTCACACATCATTAATAAGTTTAAAGATACTAGTTCCTATATAAGCTAAATTTAATAATATATAGACATCACAATTACATAGTGTTGATTTTGGAGAAAAAAATTATTACTATTTCTCACTTTTAATGTTGTTGCACTTAAAATATTTATAAAATTATTATTTAACAGATAGAAAATTCTTATTATACTTAATTTCTAATAATATGAAATTATTATTATCATAAAATTCTAATTACGTAATATCAAATAATTAAATAATAAATATTAACTAATTAAATAATAAACTAAAATATTACTAATCAAATATGGTAATCAACATATAGATATATTTTAATATGGAAATAAGCTCATGTCGGAAGCATACTCATGATTTCAGAGTTGAGAGAGAGAAAGAGAGAAAATAGAGAAAAAAAAAGAGATTTTTATTGAGGTAACTAGTTTATTTTCGACGGTTACATTCGTAAATGATAAGGAAGAGCGGCAAAGACATGTAGATCCGGATGTTGCAGTGGCAGAAATGGGGAAGGGATTTGAGGTGATCTTTCTCAGTTAATTTGGTCAACCCAAAATCCTAACCCTAATCCGTACTGCGAATGACTAATTTACCTCTGTGTGAATTTTCCTTTTATCCTTCCTTTTGTAGTAGACAGCTAAAGGTGACTTCTTGATAATATCCTTCCTTTGAGCATCAACCTTGTCCTCAAGGTTAAGATGTGAAAATTATTGTTGTAAATACTTATAGTGTTCTCACGTACATTTCTCAGCTGGAACACCTTCCCAACGTACAAGAACTTGATCTACAGGTTGGTTGTCACATAATATGGTTCTTTATTGCAAGATTTGTTGAGGTTGCATACTAACAGAGCCTTCATAAGTATCAGGGGCAAGTCTTGCTGGATCACTTTTGTGCCTGGAATGTATTTTTTAAGTCGAGACACATGAAAACTGGGTAGATAATTGAGTCTGCTGGTAATTGGAATTTGTAAGCCACTTCTCCAATCTCTTGTGATATTTGAAATGACTCGTAATATCAAGGGGATAATTTACACTTTCTTCCTCCTTTTAGTGTTCCTTGTTTGAAAGGTTGTAACTTGAGCAGTATCGAGATGATAATTTGGAGTTTCTAAGCTACTTCTCTTTTTAGTGTTTCTGGAGTCTGCTAGCAACGGTTAATTCTTTTTTGATTAATAGTATGTCATGGTTGAAATCCCATAGCGAAGGCAAGTAGCAAAGTTCTTTGAAAATGTCCTTATAATGGTCCAATAAAGCCTCTAGGTGCTCATTTTGGGCTGGCATAGTATGAACTCCATGTTCAGCCTCCATAACAAAGAAAATAGTCCCTCATTCAATGCTGTGTTCTTGCTTTCCCTATTTATTGACAGCAGTCTATTTCATGTTATTGGCTAATTTTCTGTTGGTGTTACCCCATTTGAGTACTATGAGTGAGTTACCATAATGGAACCTTGACAATAGCTTGGACGAAATTGAATATCATTGGAGTAAGTTGCTGAATACTTGACTTTTATCCATTTGGCAGCACCTTTATCTAGGAAGAAGTACGAGCCCCCACTGTCCAAAAGGACTAAGACATTATGTCTTACCATCATTCCTCTGATTTTATAGGTACTTCCTACTGTTATCCGTGTATCGCATGAATGGATAAAGTGTCTGTTGGATTATCTTTGTTATTGGTCACTTCCTCGTCGATCATTTTTTCCACAATTCTCTCTTGGTTGGAGATTTCTTCCACAACCATCAGGATTTTATTTTCGCAACTGTGACCTAGAAAATAACAGTCACTACAGTTATAGCATGATGCCGCTGTTTTCCTAATCTCCGTCTCTCTTCCCATGATTTTGGGAAAACGCTCGCCATCTCTAACAGTTGTTATTTCGGATCCTCCGGACGAGTAGGTGATCCTTTCAATCAAATACGAGTTTCTAGACATTTCAATTATAGATTGCTCTTGGAGCAGTCTTGTTCAAAAAACTAGCTTGAATGTGTCAGGTTTGAGCGATCTTATAATTGGCTGCAGTTCTAGTTTGAGTCCGCTAATGATGCTTGATACAAAAAATTATTCAAAGTTCAGGATTATGCACAAGTTTGTTGAATTCTTTTCTAAATTTTTTTCTTGTGTCACCGACAAACTTGCGGCAAAGTTCATCCACGAAATACCCACTCTATCTCATCACTTTTACCAACCACCTTCGGTACCACACATCTGCAACTTCATCAAGAAAGAGAGATGTTACTTCCACTTTTTTACTCATTGAGAATGTCGTGTGGCAAAAAATACTTATCACTTTTCCTGATCCAAGCACAAGGATTTATTCCTTCAAATAGTTGAATTTCCACTTTAGAAAGAGTAATGGTGCAGTGTGAACCAAGTCGACTCACAGTAGGATGAGAACGGATTCAGTTAAGCATTTCCCATGATTTTTCGTCAAGGTTGGAGAGTGTTTTTCATTCAGTTCACATAGAGACAAAGAGGAAAGGATTCCCCTTTGGTTGATTTTTACTAGTACAGGCAGATCTGTCAGTTTCGGTGCTTCATTAAGAGAAGCACCACCATGAAACATCTCCACAATAAGATCCAGCTGCTGCCGGCACTACCACTGCACTTTGTATATTTCTATCATGAAGTTGGTCAGTTTTTGGTCGACTTCTTTCATGGTCGGGTCAGTATTTTAATGGGTTCTGCCATAGTTGTTTTTCTTTTGGACCTGGAACGCGAGGCAACTGAGGTGTAAGTCTTTGCCGGCTCTAATGGCTCTGATACCATCTTGTCAAACACCTTACTCATGGTATTGACGTAAAGAGGAAGATAATAGAAAAGGAGAGAAAGAGATAATCCAACGATAGAGAGAGACTGATATAGAGAATGTTTCTTGATGATTTATTCAATTCAAGGGCACCTATTCATAGGCTCTGATGGTAGCAATCGGAGTGTATAACCTCTAGGCACACCTGGAGGTTGCAATAACTTGCAACTTCATCAAGTAAAAGTCCTAACCATCCAACTCATTTCAGTTTACAACCGAGTCCTACTTGCATGTTGAAAGACTAATCTACCCTTGTAAAAATGATCATTTTGTCCTTATATAATCTTTTTCCATTTTAAACCCTCCCCCAAAAGTAAACTTTGAGTGGTTTGTTTATGTTATGCCGTAAAGAAAAAATTCCAAAAGAAACACCAAAACCAATTAATCAATAGAGAAAAATTTTTAGATAAAAGTTTCCCAATGCCCAAGCACCATTCTCCTTGCAGAGACGACAAATCCGGATGCACAAATTATCTCTCAGAGACTCTCCCACCCTAGGTACTCTCTACCTTAGCAACCACCCCTTGAGGAATCCTAAATAGAGAGAGACAATAAAAGGAATACTAGGTAAACAGCATTAATAAGAATACTCCACTAATCCAACACCCAAAATCTCCTAGAATCCTATTCATTGTCGGGTACTAGAAAGACTAGACCCAAAAGTTAGAACACCAAGAGAGACGTAAGGAATCCTACACATAAGAGCCAATAACCCCATAAGTCTAGAAGTGGTGTTCTCTCCCACAAATCCCTGTGACCTTAATTTTGCTAGATTGACATAGAACCCCAATATTTATCAAAGACTTGAAGAAGGGTGACAATATCATTGACCAAAACCTCTCACACAACTAGAAATAAGCATAGGACTAAGATAAGCTACTACAATAGTAAAAATAAAAGGGGAGAGAAGGTTCCCCAATCTCACCATCCTAGTTGACCATATTATAAACTTTTCCACTATCCGAATTAAGGACAAGTCCCTACTTGTCAACGTCTTGACATCCTCCACAAGTTTATTGGCAACGAGGGGCAGGTCAAGAATTTGTCTCCCCTTACCCTCTCCCTAAAAGAATTCTGATTAATAGAAATATCACCATCCAAGACTTCTCCCAACCTCAATGATAATACTATTGTTGATAACTTTGTAAATGCTCGTAACAAGAGTTATGGGTAAAAAATAAGAGATTTTAACATAACTATCTTTTTAGGGGACTAATGTTATAAAGTGGATTTTATTTTAACATTAATTTCCCATTAAGTAAAATTCATCAAATAGCTCAATCAAATTATTCTTGATACACTCCCAGCAATTTATAAAAGATGGCAATAGAAAAATTCTCTGGGCCACAAAAGCCTTGTCCACATTAAGGAACTAGAGATGGCAACTGTCTGGGTTTAGAGCGGGTCTCGTAAAACCCAAACCTGCCTAAGAGCCATGTCAAGTTCACGGATTTTATTACAATCTGGTCAAATCGGGTTTCTGGTGAAACCTGATCCAACCTAATCAAGATTATATAAACATATTTGGTACATACCAAATTAAAAGAATATTGTATATTTCAATTAGAATTGAATCTTACATATATAACCGAGTCAAGTTCAGAGAAAATTTGCTTCTAAACCTGAACTCAACCGAACCTCGATTCAATTATAAATATCAGTCCTACCCAACTCTATTCAGTTCTTTTTAAAAAAAATATGGAAGGATCGTGGTAGGTCAGTTTAATTTCATTGAATCGCGGTTTTTTAAAGACAACATTACTTTCTTAACCCCCTCACTGAATGCATCTCTCCAAGTTAGATACTGACCACCCTTCTCCTTGTACAAGTTCCTGTAAAACTTAATTATTTCTCTCCCTATAGATTTGGTATCCCTCAATTTCTACCACCCTCCAACTCCAATTCCTTAATGTAATTTTTCTTTCTTTTCCCACTAGCAACCACGTGAAACAGCCGTGTTAGCATCATCCTCTTTGACCCACTTGAGATTATGACTTTTCTCTCCAATTAATTTCCTTCCTGACTGTTACTACTTCTAATTCAATTTTCAACGAAGACAATCTCCCAATTGCTCCTCAAAGGTCTCACTGTAAGAAGATAACTCATCTAGGAAAGCAAAGTCCTTCTTGATACCAATATCCCTAAAGACTCCAGTTTACCTTTCAGGTATTGGAGCTTCTCCTTAAAAAAAGACCCTCCCAGCCATTCACTTCCATCTCATTCCACCATCATAAATGATACTCCTAAAATTACTTCTCGAACCAAAATGGAATGGGACGCATTTCAACTCCCTTGATTCAAAATGATAAATGGTCTAAAACATGTGGAAGGACTTGAAGACTATTTTCCCAACCATTTGACCCTAATCACTATGTCCCAAGAACTGGTCTAGTAGGGAAGATATAATTCTTCCTCTATTGACAAACCACATACATCAGCACTAGACAACGAAAGGTCTCCAATCTGGCATTCTTGAATAAAACTATTATAACTCCTCATGGTAGCCATAAGCCCGGTGTTTATATCATAAGGACAACATTAAAGTCACCATTAACACACCAAAAAGTGCTACGCAAACTAGAGACAAAGGGAAATTTTCCCATAAGAGAGCACAAAGATTAGGTCTCATAGATAAAATGACCTATTCCAAGAGACCAACCTTGAAACCACTTGATTGGTCCATAAAAATGACATGATCCATTGCTTATTAATGTGTCTTCTCCATCTTCTTTACCTCATTCATGATAACCGATTTTTCACTAATGTTACATATAGACCACCCCTCAAGAGGAGGATCTATCGGCTCATTATCCAATACCACCACAATCAACTTTAGCTTTTGAGGAGGTTGACCTTGGAAACCAAGCAACTTCGAGTTTTTGCATCTATTACAAGGCAAAGACATCACTCCAACAAGCCATTATGTAAAGCTTGAATCTTCTGACCCCGTTATATCAACAGCCATAGCACCTGAACTAAGCTCCATAACTCATTGTTTTCTTGGAAGATGGCGTCTAGGATTTTTAGTTGTCTAATCACAGGCCTATTAGACTTTAGGCCATGTGTCAACTTCATCATTTGGGCCTTTTGTTTGGAACCAAATCTGTCAAAAACAGGTGGCTTAATGTTGTTTTGTCTTTGCCTTCTATTTCTAACCTTCTTCATCCACAGGATTTCCTTGTCTA